TGTGTGTGTGTGTGTGTGTGTGTGTGTGTGTGTGTGTGGGTGTGTGTGTGCGTTCGCGTGCGCGCGCGTGTGTGTGCACATACTACCGTCTGTGGCATTTTCGTAGGGTACATGTGAGAGAGCAGAGGGGGGGGAGTGGCTAAGATGTAGGGAAAGGAAAGGTACATAGATTGTAAGGGAAGGAGACTAATCGAATGGAACAACGCCGTCACGTATTCAAAAAACATCTGAAACGCATAAATTTTGTGCCCAGGTGAAACACCGACAGTTACACATGTTTTCGTAAGCGCATTCTCAGAAGAAGGATACAATGCCCGCACACATTACCTATAACGTCCTACGACGTACAAGTATCGCGTATATAACCTGTTGATTACAGGTGTAATATCCCTTTTGATTACAGGTGTAATATGCTCTAGATTGCAGGTGTAATCTGCTCTAGATTGCAGGTGTAATATGCTCTTGTTTGCAGGTGTAGTATGCTCTTGATTACAGGTGTAGTATGCTCTTGATTACAGGTGTAGTATGCTCTTGATTGCAGGTGTAATATGCTCTTGATTGCAGGTGTAATATGCTCTTGATTACATGTGTAATATTCTCTTGATTGCAGGTGTGGATAGGAGGGGCACGCCACATGTGTATCAGTTGGCCACGGGAAGAGTGGAAGAGGTCAAGTTCAAAAATCACGAGAGATGTTTGAAGGTGACGTCAGAGATGCAGGGAGGGCGCTGCATATGCCTGTCCTTCTCCAGCGACTCGGACCTGACGAAGTGGCTACGGAAATGCACGAAGGTGAGTCGTGGGTCACGAAGTGGCTACGGAAATACACGAAGTTACAAATGCCTATTAGTTTACTTATCTTATCAATGTTCACTTGTTTATATAGGTTAACGATGCTCACTTGTTGACTTTCTTCTTACCGATGTTCACATATCGACTTCCCTAATAGATCTCAGTCTATTGGCTTAATTCACGGATGCTCATTCATTCACTGGCTTCCTTGATGTTCACTTGTTGACTTTATCGCGTCGCTCGTTGTCTTGGTAACAGGCTGCTGCGAAGCTGCCAAACCTGGCGGATCTGTCTAACAATCATCTGGAGTACATCCCCGAGAATCTGTTTGTCAACGATAGACTGTCGCAACTCAACCTGCGCCATAATGCTCTCAAGGAGAGACCGATAGAGGAGGACATCTATACCATAGGTACAGCCTGCTCTTTTATAGAGAGGAAGGTGGGCGGATGGAGAGAGGGAAAGAGAGAGGGGGAGGGAAAGAAGGAGAGATAGAGAGGGAGAGAGAGAGAGAGAGAGAGAGAGAGAGAGAGAGAGAGAGAGAGAGCGAGAGCGAGACCGATAGAGGAGGACATCTATACCATAGGTATAGCCTGCTCTGTCATAGAGAGGAAGGTGGGGAGGAGAGGAGGGTGGGGTAGGAGGGTGAGAGAGAGAGGGAGGTGGAGAGAGAGGGAGAGAGAGGGAGGGATAGAGATAGAGGGGAAGTGAAGGGAGAGAAAGATAGAAATGGGAGATAGAGCGCGAGATAGAGAGGGAAAGGGAGAGAGAGCGAGAGATGAGACGGAAAGGGAGAGGAGACGAGCAGAAAGCGAGAGAGAGAGCGAGAGCTTAATTCCTACTCGACATCTGTACAGCTGCGTATCCCATCATCATCATCATCATCATCATCATCAATCAGCATCATCATCATCGTCATCATCATCATCATCGTCGTAATCATCATCATCACTCAGCGTGCGTTACTCGTGGCTCCCTCTAGGTTGGGTCGACGATCTGCCGAGCTTCCAAAACCTTCACTCTCTCAACCTGTCCGACACGACCTGTACGTGTTCCCGAGCGCCATCTGCAGGTGCTGACGCTGCAAGAACTGAACGTCTCTAGCAACATGATGGCCGACCTTCCACCAATCATCGCAGAGCTCATCAAGTACGTAGCAACGCGCATGCGCAGTACTACATGTGCATGTACACATCACTAGGGAGATCAGTGATGTGCGTTACTGATTATGACTAAAACACATTACTGATTGATCTCTATATACTAACATACTAATATACTATAGTATAGATAGTTAGTATATAGAGATTACTGGTGTATATATGGATGTCTAGTACGTGTTACTAGTTGAACCCAGTCATAATGCAACGATGTGTGACATATTGGGTCGAAAAGAAATTGATTGCTTATATGATGGGTTATTTAAAATCGTATATGGTGTTATGTTATTTAAAGCAAAGTGTGATTAAAAGGTTCTTTTGTACACATATACACACAAACACATGCAACCTATATATATATATATATATTGCATAATATTATTTATTTATTTATATGTATATATATATAATATATATATATATATATATATATATGTACACCATTGCACAGAACATTTTCACCTTACTTGTGGTCGAACCGTAGTTCGGGGCTTCGAGTGGCGGGGCTTTAGTGGGCGGGCTTCAGGAACACAGAGTGCCGGGGAGCGCCATCCTGAGTCAGATCTGTTGCATTAACATGCGGTGATGTCACTCTTACGACGCTTAGTATTTGATATACACGCCGCTTTGCTTCTATTGTGAATAACAATTAGCAAGGCTTGCGATTGTTCGCGCAACGTTCGTGATTGTTCGGCAACGTTCGTGATTTGTTGGCAATGGTCGTGATTGTTCGCAATGTGTGATGGTTCGGTAAGTTCGTCATTGTTCGGCAATCGTTCGTGATTGTTTGGCAATGATCGTGATTGTTCGTTAGCGTTAGCCATTGTTCGCCAACGTTCGTGACTGTTTTGCCAAACGTCGTGATTGTCGGCAAAAAAGTCGTAATTGCTCGTCAAGGTTCGTGACTGTTCGGTAAAGGTCGTGTTCGTTTGGCAGAGCTCGGAGAACGAACACATCTATTAGTGATAATGATTAGTGATAATGGGAACTAATCGTTTGCTAATACAGGAAGTAATTTGACACGGCCCGATCTACATGTGCTCGCTGTTCACACACACTCTGCTCTGATATGTAAAACTGGGACAGTGCATGAATGACTGGGATAATTATCATCATGGTATAGAATATATAGTGACCTTACTACATACTGGTAGTGTGCGGGCCCATGTTCCTGCTGTGAGATGCGAGGTGGGGGTGAATATTGAAGCAGATGTGTTTGTAGTTCTGTGCAGCCGCGTGTGCATTTCGCGAGGAGTATGTTGGTGTTGTTTGTCTTTCTGTCTGTTTGTTTTTGTTGTTATTTTGTTTGTTTGTCTGTTCTCCGTAGTTCTGCATTACTCTCTTACGCGCGCTCCCCCTTTGTTTCTCTCTTTAACCATGTAATTGGTTCCCCTCTCTCTATTACTCACACACACACACACACACACACACACACACACACACACACACACACACACACACACACACACACACACACAC